CCAAGCCCAAAAACTCAGAAACCTACGATCAATACAAAATGTTGTACCCCTTTCTACCTTATGTACTCTTGTAGTACTTATTTCCAAAAGTAATTCCAAATTTCAAAACCCCAGCTCCATAGGTTCAGCAAATTCAATTTATAACAAATTTAGTACTATTTAGTACACATAACTCTACCTTAAAACAAGCAATCTTATTTCCAAATTTCCGGATTCCAACCCTATCGGTTCACAAACATCAAAATTGTACCAAAATTAAATACGAATTTATACCTCTACACCTGAATCATACAATCCATAAAAATCTTATTGTTTAAGATCATATACTTTGTTGGATCTAAGCAGATTACTTTCGATGAGTTACAAACGGAATGATTTAATATACCCTCCACACTATGTATGTAAGGGGTATAAAAATAAATTGCATTGTGTTAGTCATTGATGTTCTCTGGAATGCGTAAACCGATTTTGTTCCTGCAAACTTCATACAGAAACTGACATCAATACCAAGGTTCATATCTACGTCAGTATCTGTATAATTCGTGAGTTACAGTCAAAAAATAAATATTTCAGTGATCCAATGCCCAGGCGAAGCGTCTGAAGCTAGAATCGTGAAATTTTGAGAAGACCTTATGGTCTTCGATAAAAAGACCTTCAGTTTATATGGAGGGATGTGATAAGGTTGCGTTTTATCCATACCACAAGTGCACTAAAAGATCCTAGACATCTAATGGGCAAACGGATGGGGCTTGAATTCTGAAATTCGGAATAAAGGTCACTGATGGGGTGTGGCATAGATGTAACAAATTCAAACTATAAATATAGGGATAGAGATATAATATGGACAGAATTAATATTAAAAAATATAACGTTTATATAAATGAAGGTTGTTTTATAATTGTGCACTATGGGAAGAACTGTAGTAAATGGTACTAAATTTGATATAGTTTGATTTTGGGTAAACGAATGGAGCCTTAAATTTGGAGGTGGTTACTAACTTCAAGCGTACGCAAAGTGCTCAATGATATTATATTTGAAACTGATCGGATAGTGCTCGAAATCTGAAAATTTCCACGGGCATCACAGATAGTTCGAAAGGCTGAGATTTGGAGAAAAGAAAATTAAATGCTAATAAATTATGTATTTGAAAGGGTTGAATTCTGGTCGGTGCCGTTGTAGCGATCTCACGTCAGATTTCAATAATGATATTTCAATATATTCTAAGGACCTTAAAAACGTATCATTATTTAAAAGTTATAGCAAGTACCGATTGAGAAGGAAACCTTTATTTATTTTATGTTTATATAGTCAATTTTCAATACAAAAGTAAAAAAACATTAAGTTCGGCCCGGCCGAACTTTTAATGCCCTTCACCTTAGGGTAAAGGAAACATTTTTATATAAAAGTATCTGAATTCAAGCGTGTTTCACTTTAAACTTCATAAATTTATCAAAAAAGCATAAAGTGAGTGAGGCCGTTATATGGAGCCATGCCAAAACGGGAACCTCTAAATTTTGTACTTCAAGACAATTTTACACTTCAAGGATTGTCATCTATCAAATCTTTTAAAATACCAAATTTGAAACAATTATGTGGGTAAATGTGACTAGGACTATCAAAACACCGAATATCGCTACGTATTTTTATATGTGCGTTATAGGAAAACGTGGAACTAAATATTCAAAATTCTGCAACCGGGCTAGAACCCATTATGAATTAAAAGTACCAATTTTTATCAATATATCAAATATTGGCAGGTACCGTTATGTGGGGGCTATACCACAACGTGAACCTACACATACAATGTTTTGCCACACAAGCTACAACCCATTACGAACTACAAATACAAATTTTTGGACAAATCCTTTTAAAAATGTGTTAAAATCATGAAAACACCGAATATAGGGAGGTACCCTTCAATGGGGGCTATACCAAAACACAGAGCGATACATACAATGTTTCGCCACCGGAGCTAGAACCCAATATAACCTACAAATACCAATTTCGAAAGAAATCCATAAAAAAATGTGGCAAAAATCATCAAAATACCGAATATCGGCTGGTACCGTTATGTGGGGGCTATACCAAAACACAGACCTATACATACAATGTTTCGCCACACCAGCATGAACACATTATGACCTACAAATACCAATTATTATACAAATCCGTGGAAAAACGTTGCAAAAATCACGCTCTACGTCAAATAATGTGGGCTGTATCGTGATTTCAACAGACAGAAGGACAGACAGACGGACATCGTTAAATCGACTTAGAAATTTATGCTGATTATGAATATATATACTTTATGGGGTCTACGATGAATATTTAGGGATGTTACAAACGGAATGACAAAGTTAATATACCCTCCTTTCAAAGGTGGAGGGTATAAAGACAGGTCTGAGTAAAATCAGCTACTTCATTTGGAACGGATGCTAGAGTGATTTCCACAGACGGACAGGCACAGTTAAATCGACATAGAAATTCAGGTTCAGATAGGTCCACTTTTTGGTACAACCCTTAAATAAAGATACCCTGTGATTTCAGTTACTGATTTTACTCATATTTACCAATCACAAATTTTTAGATTTTATTTTTAAGATTTTAGGTACAATATTATCTGAAATTCCTTAAAATTATTAGAAGTTCCTAATAGATACTACGGCCTGTGGCGGAAAATTGTCTATGCAGATCCAGGTCTTCGTATAACCCCGATAAAACGGTACCTGTCTATATCCGGTATTTTGATGATTATAGCTACATCATCACAGGATTTTTTTTTTTTAAATTTCGTATTTGAATATTGTAATTTCTTATGACAAAGGTTACCTATGCAGGCCCATGTCGTCGTATAAACCCCAATATAATGGCTATATTCTGTATTTTTGAATTTGAATAGAATTTTAACGGATTTTATTTATTTATTTATTTTTTTTATACTCTCCACCATACTATGGAGGGTATATTAACTTTGTCATTCCGTTCGTAACTCCTCGAAATACTCATGTCAGACCCAACAAAGTATATATATTCTTGATCAACGTAAAATTCTAAGTGGATGTAGCGATGTCCGTCTGTCTGTGTAATCACGCTATCTTTCGAATGAATTGATATAGAAGACTAAAATTTTGCACGCATGTATATTTTGCCAGTAGGCAGGTTAAGTTCGTAAATGGGCCATGTAGGTCCAAGTTATCATATAGCCTCCTTATAACGGCACCTCCCTATATTTGGTATTTTGATGACGTTAGCGACATTATTTAACGGTATTTTTTCAAATTTGGTATTTGAAGTTCGAAATGAATACTACACCTTAAGACAGAAAATTGTTTGTGCAGGTCCACGTCTTCCTATAGCCCCCATATAAGAGTACCTCCCAATATTCGGTATTTTGATGATTTTACCGTCATTATTCACCAGAGTTGTTTCAAATAACGTATTTGGAGTTCGCTATGAGAACTACAATCTGTGACAGAAAATTGTCTATATAGGTCCAGGTCTTCGTATAGGCCCCATATATCAGTACCTCCCTATATTCGGTATTTTGACGATTTTAGTTACAATACCCATCTAAATTTTTTGAGATGTGGTATATGAAGTTCGTAATGGATGCTGCAGCCTGTGACAGAAAATTGTCTACGCTCGTCCAGGTCTTCGCACAGTCTCGATATAACGGTACGCTACATTATTCACTGTTTATTTCAAGTTTCGAGTTTGAATATGGTAATGGATTATGACAAACAATGCCTATGTAGGTCCAAGTCGTATGGACCCCAATAGACGGCTATATTTGGTATTTTTAAAATTTTAACAGCATTTTTTAAGAATTTTGTTTTTTGAAAATTTCCAAATTCGTTCTAAATGGTGGATGGTATTCAAAGTTCGGCCCGGCCGAACTTACTGCTCTTTTACTTGTTCTAATTGCGAATATATCGAATTCTAGCACTGAGTTTCACTTCAATTTCCATACAATGAATAAGTATTTCATAACAAGTAATATTTAATATGTTTATTATGAACCCAATATTTTCCTTCCAACATTTATGCTTCACATTCCACGATTTACATTACCATTTTTTTTTTGCTGATCCAAAAAAATTGTATACAAAAAATCCTTTTATGGGATTATATTTCATTCAACCACAAAATATGAACCAAACAGTAAACAACTTGTGTAAATAAAACAAAATACGAAGAATTACCATCCAACCATCAGACACAACCGTATGCTGCCCCTGACCTATCCCAAATGAAATGAAGTTGATGTTGGATCTCTGAAAAAAAGTGTTAAGTTTAAGCTGAAAACTGCTCCATCATTTGCCCGAAGTGTGAGAGTATGTGTGTGAGCGGGCCATCATCACACACAACTCTCGGACACTTCGGTTTGGAAACCTACCTCAATGATGGTTGGTTGGTTGCATTGAGAGCTTTGGTTGGCGCGCAATGCTGGAGTAAGACACACATTTCATTTCCTTCTGTTGGCGCTCATGTTTTACCGGCCCAACACTTGAGTCTTCGTGTGTGTGTGAGAGTATGCGTGTCATCAAAACTGAGAGTGAGTTTTGTTTTGGTTTGTTTTCGGAATTCACAAATCGAATCCGAATTCAAGCTTTATACAAATTTACAAAGGGGGCCTGATGTTTCGTGTTGCTGTTTCAGTTTCGGTTTCATTTTCGTTTTAAAACTTATTTTGGCATTTTCAGTTTCAACAATGTTGTTGCTTTTGTTTTCGGCTTCCATTGCGGCTCAGCGTTGTTGTTTACGACGATGATGATGATGATGATGGGCCACCAGCTGGCTTAGCTTGACGGGCTAACTGACTCTTTCGGGGCTCTGTGATGATCATGACGTCGTCGCCAACCACGACGATGATCATTTCCCAAAATATAAATAGATCTGCAGTGGTGAAATGTGGGTAGTTATATTAGAAGACCTCAACAGAGGCAGTCATACATTTGGTGCTAAATACACATTAAACGCGTCCACATAGCGGGGGGATTACAAATATGAGATCCCTACAATTATTGGTGGGTGTTGAAAGTGAATTTGAATATTAAAAAAAATAATTACAAACATAACAACTAAACATGAAACTGAAACATTAAAATATGGATAATTTTTAAATAACTGTGAAACATACAAAATGGCTCAAAATTAAACAATGTGAAAACTAAAATTAACAAACTCAAAAAATGCACATTAAAATATATAAATTGAAGAGCTGAAAACCACTAAAATAATTAAAAGAACAGGAGGACAATTTTTATAAATAATATTGTTAAAAAAAAACTCACAAAAAATATTGAATTATCGAATTTTAATAAAAATGGAAAAAATGCATCAAATTTTCAAAAAAAGTCATGGCAATCCAATTAATTAATTATGCAACAAGGATTAATATATACACTTGGAATACAGTACAGGATCTCATCTAAAACAACAAATAAGAAGAGCGCATTTACAATAGGGGATATCTGCAATAGCCTATACTTGTGATTGTAATTTTTATCGTTTTAATGAATTGATAATTGGATACGATATTCTTAGGTCCTGATAACAGACAAGAATAATGTGGTGAATTTTATAGAAACGCTAAGTGTTCTAAGCCATAAATATTTTGACATATTCTGAGAGTATCAAGGTTTTCGGGGGTAATTGGAAAAAAATTAAAATTAGATTTGGAAAAACGGATATAAAATCGAGGCATAATTTCACGACGCGAAGTAGTATTAAATTCACTTTAATGACCCAAATCCCATTTATTGCCGCATCGAAAAATTAGGTGAAAATATTAAAAAATCTAGGAGGGAAATAAGTAGTTCCAGTTATTTTCTCAAGAAAGTAATGATCATACCTCGGAAACTATTTTATCGTTTTCACTGAATATTTATTTTATTTCTCATTGGGTACTATAACTTATTCCAATTAACAATTCCAAAATAAGTGGACTTCAACTTTGACGGACCTGTGTTGAGTTTTTTTGTAAGGTTATTTAATAACAGCCAGTTCGACTGGCTATTGTTACCAATTTCGTAGGAAAATAGTGAAAACGTTTTTTAATCTCCAGATAACAAAAAAAAATTAAAAAGGCTCATAAGTTCTATAAGTTTTAGAATAAAAATTAAAAGATTGGATCATACGTAAAATTCCTATTTTTATGAACTAAAAATTTAAAACTTAAAAAGTTCAACAATAAAAAATGAAAAATAAAATGGGCCATATAAGTGCACGTTTTGTTCCACGATAACTAAGGCTTTTTGTGTGTTTTAGTCACAATTTCAAACCGAATTTTCTGAAAATTAGGAATTTGTGTTTCCAATATGTAGGAAACATACCTGCAGCGAACTGTACATACAGGTCCAAATTTTATTGTTGACCCCATATAACTGTACGTTCAGATAATAGGCATTTTTATGATTTGTGTCACAGTTTCAAATTTGGTATTTGGAGTTCGCAATTTTGAAGAATAGCGCTGAATTGGTTTAGATGTTTAAAAAATCAAATGCTCATTTGGCATTTTATGAGCGTCAAGACTATTAAAAATTTTGCTCCGTTGTTGGGGAGGTATTGGCAGAGTGGGTATAAAAATATAGGATAAAAATATTGTACTTTGCTATGTTTGGCCAAACTCGGAAGATCGTTTCTGTTTCTGTGAGATATGTAATTTTAACTTTTTGTGGAGGAGTCACCTTTTCCAATCTAATTTAAATAAATAAGTCTTCTTTGAGCTTTAGCTCTGCTTTTTTATTATCCGATATTTCGCAATGGATTACATTATATATTTAGGGAAATCTACAAAAATAAATTTTGTATCAAGCCTAATATATATAAGCCTTAACAATGTTTGGCCTAAGAACCAGAAACTATTTTGGTCTATTTTGATCTGCAAACTAGTATTATCAAGTCCACTTATAATTTTTCACAACCCCGATTGATTATTCTACCGGGAAATTATAAGAACATTTGCGGCGACTTGCAAAAATGTAAAAGCAAAAGAAAAATTGATCAAAAAAATTAGTAAATATTTTTGAGTTTTCTTGGGAACCTTGATGCAAATATTTTTATACATGCTTGTAACATAAATAAGTAAGTGAGATAGATCTAAAGTTCCTTTGAGGATCTTCATAGAATCACTTCCTGAGTTGATTTATGTATATCGGTCCGTCCGTTCTTCCGATTGAGATGACATTTTTCAAAAATATTTGTTTGACCAAGGACGAACCCTATTGAAATTGGTGAGAATCGGTTCACATTTAGATATATAATATAGCTCCCACATATAGATATAGCTCCCATATATATCTTCAACCGAAAATAGCCAATATAAGTCCATATGACCAGAATTTTGGCACCGAATTCAGTCTAGAAGCAATTACATCAAATTTGGTGAAAATCGGTTCAGATGTAACTATAACTCCCATATATATTTTTCATCCGATTGGTGTTTAAGTCCCTCACATTCGTAATATGCATTCGACAACAATGATATTTGGCACCAGATAACAGATACAAAAAAGAAATACCTCTGCCGAATTTTATTGAGATCGGTAAAGATTTGGATATAGCTCTCTTATCTGTTTTTATCCGATTTCGGGTATATTGTGCACCAAATGGTTAATGTATTTCAAATTTTGGTGAAAATCTGTTCAGCTAAAGCTATACCTCCATATGTTTTATTTTTGTCTTTGACGTCATTCTTGTAAAATGATGCTTTGTTGGAGATTTTTGCACAAACTCGCGTAAAATACGGCTTTAATCCTATAATGAGTTTTCAATATATATGTATATATCAATTCTTGGCCTTTAGGTACGATTTAGATTTTTGACATTTTCTAGGACTTGTAGCGGAATTTTATGACAAATAATTTTGTAGAATGTTTTGACTTGCTACGATCCCGTTTAAAGGGAGTTTTTTATTGTGATGAATTATAAATTGAGAGAAGTCTTCAGATATTGTTTGTTTTCACAGAATTTTGGCCAGTAAAAACCATTTAGAGTTACAGAGCCCCATGTTGCCTTATATTCTTGTTTGTGTTGCTTAAGAGAGAGAAAGATGCAGAACTTCCTATGAAAAGGTTTTTTATTACAAATGTTTTCATGTTTTTTTTTTTTAATATTATAAAAATTCTTTCATATATTGTTAGAGTGTCAAGATTCCAGACAAAATATTTAATGTAATATTTTTTACTACAGCCCCTTTTCTAACAAAGTACAGATTTTAATTAGAAATTTAATATTAAAAAAAAAAACCAAATAAGTTTCGAATTCTCTATACATGCACACTTTAATTGTATTATATTTCGATATTTAAATAAAATATGTAGATATTCAGTGATAACAAGAATCCAGATCACACATAAGCTCTCCAATCGTCATTTGACTATTTTGAAAAAAAAAAAAAAACGTATTCCAGAGTTTGGATATCGAATTACATAGAACTGCCTTAAAATCTTGCTTATATATTTGAAGGTAATGATAACAATCATGGTTGAAATATTCCTGGAAAATTTCTGAAGAGTGTCTGCTAGAAGAAATAAATTATAGGTTTCTTAAAAAAATATATATTTTTTTTTAGTTTTTTTACTTATCAAAATTTTTAAGACTATTGCGAAGTATACATTATGTTACATTGATCAAAAACACTAAAATTGTTCCGATTTTTAAGGTTATAATTTCCTAACTTCCAAATCAAAAAATAATTTTCTGATTTGTCAAATGAATTGTTAATTTTATTTATTATTAATCCATTTATATAACAGCTGGAAACTAGTGGAATTTTAGAAATCACTTATATCTAAAACGACAAAAATGAAGTACTTATGCATGACATCGATGATATGTTCTAAAAGCATCAATAGTTTACAAAACTACAAATTATAAATATTTTTATCAAAATATTTCATTCAAATACTGTAATATTAATTTAAAAATTATAGAAAATTTTCATATAAATAGTTCTGAATCGATTTCCACTCATCTGAAAATATTCTCTCATTGTCCTTAAAATACATCTCCCCATCTTCTTCCACATCATTTTCTTATATGATTATGAGTTAACTAACCTTTGGAGACCTCATTTCATATAAACGCATCTCGACTTATAAATAGACACAAATTGGCCCAAATCGTTTTGGTTCAAATCAAAAACTTTGAATAAATTATTTAAACTAACCAAATATCAAACAGTAGCATTTGATTTATGAGGGGCATTTCAAATAGCCCCATGGACTTATGTCGTAAATATTTATCGACTATAAAATTCACAACAAGGTATTGTTCGTCGATTTAGTGGCTTTATAATATGAAAATAACAACAAGCACCACACACACACACAATAAAATCAATTAAAATTACACTATTGTCATTCATTAAAAACAAATTAAAGGCATTAATTTGACACGCTTATGTTTCTATTAGGCACATGCTATAAAAACGCAGCTTGAGGTGTTTAATGGTAGAAACATAATAATAAAAATAATAATAAAACTTAAAACTTTTCGTGAATAAAAACACCACTAACGAATTAATATCCGAAATACCCTAATTTTCCTTATTTAAAATGGTAAACAACTTAAGACCTTCTTAGTATAATTAATTTAATCAAAGTGATAATGACTAAGAATTGTTAATAGGAAAATTGCGAACATTATGATGAGGTCATAGAACTCATGAAAAAATAACAATAATTTTCTAACACAGAAAAGTTTCAGTTTCTAATATTGTTGCCTTACCAGTTTTTTTTTTAATAAAATTACCTTTGTGATGTCTTAAATTATTTTCTATTTGTATTAAAAATTTCTTGAAGAACTTCCGTTACTGACCTAGAATTTTTACAAACCTATAACACAAAATTAACGATTTTTGGCATAACCTAAATAAATATATACCTTATATGAGATATGTGATAATTTTTCGAAAAATCACTGACTTGTTTCGCAAGTTATAACAGATAAGAGTATTGAAAATGGTGAGGTACCAGAAGGAGTTGGCAGATAAATGTCATCTTCACAAAAGATCTTGTGTGTGAATTGTGAAGAGAATTGGATGCTTATTAAGCTTTCTTCGAGCATTTTGTTTTTCAAAATCTTGAAACCTATGTGGGGGACGTACCAGAAGAAATTTTCCGAACTCTACCATATCTATAACAGATCTTGTATTGATGAAAATATTGAGATGTACCCAACGGAATGTTAATGAAAACGGATGTTAATTTCGCGTTTTGCGAGCTTCATGGATATTTAAAATGTTAACCCATTGTGGGAAACGTACCAGAAGGAGTGCACCAACATATTCCACCTTTTCACCAATCCTTGGGTTAATAAAATTCCTGTAATGTATGAAATATGAATAGAACCGGATGATTATTTCGGATTTTATAATTGTTTTGGTTATTTAAATCTTTGACACTTTGTGGGGAAGGTACCAGAAGGAATGGAACGATGCTACCATCTTTATAACAGATCTAATGTTGATAGAAATTTTGAGATTTGTCAAGTCTGAATGGAATCGGATGTTAACATCGCTCTTTATGAGCTTTACGGACTTTTGACCATTTTTGGGGAAGGTACCAACACGACTGGACCGATAGACATATTCACATCAGACTTAGGGTTAATAAAAATATTGTGTTGTGACATTTTATAAGAGTTATAATTTTTCAAAATTTTGACTCTCTATGGAGGACATACTTGATGGAGTGGACCGATATTGTCCATTTTCGCACCAGACCTCGCACTGATCAAATTTTAGGTTTTACAAAGTTGGACCAAATTCGGATTATCCTTGCTCTTTCTGTGCAGCAAAATATTTTATTGAATTGAACCAATATTATCCATCTCCGAACTCGATCTAAGTTTGACAATAGTATTACGTTGTACCAAGTTTTTATCAAATCGGATACTCCCTTCGAGACTTACACAAATGAATTGAATTGAAATGAATTCGAATTTACAAATGAGTTTCTCGAATTTCAATTGAAATTTTACCAATTATAAATGGAATTTTCGAATTGAAAATAAAAAGTTTCGAACATTATATTGCTTGTCCGAACTGTGCTTCAGATTGTTATACCTTCCACCATGGTCTAGAGGGTATATTAGTATGTCATTCCGCTTATAACACCTCGAAATGTACATTTTAGTATATGTATTCTCGATATCCATCTGTCTGTCTGTCCGTCTTGGAAAATCATTCTAGCTTCCGAACGAAACAAAGTAGGTTGAAAAACATTTGCTCAGATGAATGACATTTTTAGTGTAGAAAAAATGTCATATAGATCCACGTTTTGATATATCCCCCAGATTAAGGTACCGAAAGGTTAGGGTATAAAAAGGGTCGGGCGAGGACCAATATTCAATTTGGAAAGATTTCAGATCAAACTGAATAAATTGGAAGAGCTCGCCTACATTTGCGGTGCATCAAATTTTAAAGGACTGAGTAGTTTTGGCTTCTAATCAAAGTCCGAATGTTTCCTGACCAAAAAAAAAAAATCTATGAAATACGAAATATCAAACAAATTTCAATAGAATTTCGAAAGTATGGATATATGAATATCAATTTTAGGTAATATTTTTTAAAAATAGTTCATAAGTCGCCGTCCGGGCTGGTGGTCTACAGGGTGAGATAAAAAACTGCAACAAAGTCAAACGCTTTAATTTTTATTTTTTTTTTTTTTTATTGATTGAAAACAAAGAATTCGGAAATAGAAAAAATTTTAGAATAAGTTTAGATTTGTTCGAATTGTTCACCTTTGGCACGAATTATGACCTTCAAACGGCCAATGAAACCGTCACACGCTGCAAGAATGTTGCTCTGCGGTATTTTGCCTCATTCCCGGCAAAACGCTTGCTTGAGGTGAACGACACATTGGCATTTTTTAGTGCTAATCATACTTTCCAAAATACTCCAGACACAATAGTCCAACGGATTGGTATCCGGAGATGTTCGTTGCCGTTGTGGCCATTCTTGGGTGGCGCGTGCTGAGTGCAATGATGCTGAGTCCTGTTGGAATGTCCAAGGTCTGCGGCCAAAATGTTTGCGTGCCCAAAGCTTTAATACACCCTCCAGAATATTTTCGCGATAATATTCGGCATTTATTCTGATGCCACGGTCGATTAATACGAGCGGAGAGCTGTTATGGCGGTCCACACTATCACCATGGACGGCGCTTGAGTTCTGATGGCCAACCGAAGGTGCACATTTTCAACTGACCTCTTTGGCAAGTAAACACGATCATTTTGTTTGTTTACAAACTGCTGGACAACGAATGTTTTCTCATTTGAGATAACCAAATTCGGCAGTTCACCACTTTCTGCCAAGCGAAGCAACTCTTTAGCCCTTTTGAGTCTATTTTCTTTCTGTTGCCTTGTAATTTCTTGCACTTTTTGGAATTTCAATGGTTGATTTTTCAATATTTGCCAAATGGAATATTGCGATATGTTCAGCTCACGAGCCATTTCCATTCGGCCACTGCGACGCGGGTTTCGATCAAGTCGCTTCTTTACTTTTCGAACCATTTCTGCTGATATTGCTGTTTTCTTCCATCCACTTCCTTGATGTCGAGCTACGCTACCAGTAACGAGCGACGGTACGAGACACAAAATATTTATTTACACTTAAATGCTGGAGTGCTCTAACGATAGCCACTTGTGGTTTTCCAGCCAAATATAAAGAAATCACACTATCACGCTTAAATTCCATAACGAATAACTTTTTTCTGGACAATTCTTACCAAAATGCTTTTGTACCCTTGTAAACAATATAATGAGCTGTCACTAGAATAATTTTAACAACTATCGGACAAGTGGTTTATAAATGACAGCAGTCTGAAATTGGTTGTAGTTTTTTCATCTCACCCTGTACTTCATCGCCCAATTTAAGGGGATTTTCCATAAATCCATCGCTTCATTTAAAAAACGCATATTTTCAATTAACTATTTTGATTTCTCAATGGTTATTGGCAATGTAGGATAGACATATACTCATAATAATAAGGAACCACCAGATAATCGTTATCTTGAGAGGTATAACGACATATAACAAACCTATTGGCATTTCAAATTGTGAGCAATCACAAAATGTCTTGTAAAAAAATCGGAACAACTGCTTTCGAACACTTTCCGGGTTTTTCATTCCCTTAAAGTTTAAGTTCGACCCGGCCAATTTAATTCTCAAATAGTATACCCTCCATTTAAAATTTATATTTTTTTCTCATTTATAATCTATTTTCTTTCCCTCTCTCCCTCCCAACTCGAACCAACAGCTCTTGGGTGCCAGCTGTGCTCTCATAGTCAGCTTTGCCTTCGCCCATCCGCCCGAAGGTGTTTGGAAAAAGAAACTCACATGGAAAGAAGATTGGGTACAGGTTTGGAAGACCGTCAAAAAAGAAGCATGGGAAACCAAATGGAAAAAGATACAGGTGCCCATTTGGAAAGAGGTCAAAGTGCCCGTGTGGAAAGAGGAACAAGTACCCGATTGGAAGATTGTGAAAAAACCCCACATCGAAGAACGTGAAGTTCCCGCCTGGAAAGAAGTCAAAGTACCGGAATGGAAGAAAATCACCAAACCCATTTGGAAAGAAGTCCAGGTGCCAGTGTGGAAGGAAATTCAAGTTCCCGTGTGGAAAGAAATCCAAGTACCCGTCTGGCGTGAGATAAAGGTACCCGTTTGGAAAGAAATCCAAGTGCCCGTCTGGAAGGAAATTCAAGTACCCGTCTGGAAAGAGGTACAAGTACCCGACTGGAAGAAAATGTTCGTTCCCGAATGGGTCAAGATGGGCATTCCCGGTGAAAAGTATCTCGGCAAAGATCACGAGGGTTGGGAATACACCAGTCACGATCTGTGGCGCAAAAAGCTGATATGGAAACCTGTCTGGAAAAAGGTTTGGCGTACCGAAAAGAAGCAAGAATGGAAAACCGAAAAGAAACAAGAATGGAAAACCGAAAAGGTCCAAGAATGGAAGATCGAAAAGAAACAAGAATGGAAGACAGAAAAGGTCCAAGAGTGGAAGACGGAAAAGAAACAAGAATGGAAGACCGACAAAAAACTCGAATGGAAAGTTGAATGGATTCAAGTCTGGAAGCCGGTGAAGAAACAAATTTGGATCAAAGAGAAACGTGAAACATGGGTCGAAGAGAAGGTACAAATCTGGCGCACAGAAAAGAAACAAGTCTGGGCCACAGAAAAGAAACAAGCCTGGAAGGACGAATGGAAGGCCGTGCAAGTGCCCGTCTGGAAGGAGGTCAAGGTGCAGGAATGGAAAAAGGTGTGGAAACCAGTATGGGAAAAGGTGTGGGTACCCACACCTCACCATGAACATGGCTGGGATTAAGTCCGTGTCACTCCGTGTCACCTCATCTTCATTCCATCCATTCACCAGCTATTTAGGTAGACTAGTTAAGTAAGACAAATCATCAGACTTCTTTTTTCTCTTTCAAACGAGACCATTCGTTTGATCGAACGGTCGTTCGTTCGATCGTATGCGCCCATGAACCAAGTGCAGTTTGGATGCCACAGTACTGAAACCATCATTAATGTTTATTTTTTTTAATAATTTTTCTCCTTCTCTCTCTCTCTCTCTCTCTCTCTCTCTGTATCGCTCGCTCATCAATGTTAATAAATTATTATTTAAGTTATTTTTGTTTTCATTCTGTCTAACTTTTGTGAAAGCAAAGAGAGTCAATGCTCTCCAGTTCCCCAATTCTTTTCTCTTACCCAAATTACCTTTTCAGTTATCCTTGCAAAATTTATTTTATTTAGCATTCCAATTTTTTTTATTTTCCATTTAATTTTTTTATTTTTGTTATAAAAATTGTTAAACTATTTTTTCTCTAGAATAAGTTCTTTTGTACAAATTAGTCATTCACTCTTAACGTTGTTGTTGTTGTGAGGCTTTTATTGTCAACCCAAAATACACGTTAAGAGTTAATTTTACACAAACCAATCATTATACAAAAAAAAATAATGAAAATGTATTATTTTATAAAAAAAAAATTATAAAAAAATTGTTGATATTTTTTATTGCAACAACAGAACACGTTGTTGCAATTGTAAAATAAAATAATATTTTTTGATAATAAAAAATGAAAATTTTATACAGTTGTTTTCTTTGGAGAATATTAAAAATTTACGACGATTTATTTCATTTGAAGTTCACCGAAATAATCCTTTAAGGTCCTGTAGAGTATATATTCTTGCAAAGAAATTAACGACTATTTATGCATCGCTCATTAACTCAAGGGTGGAATAACTCGAAAATTGAAGTATTTGAGTTAGTAATTTCTATATTTATACCCTCCACCATAGTATGGAGGGTATATTAAGTTTGTCATTCCGTTTGTAAGGCCTCGAAATATACATTTTAGACCTCACAAAGTATATATATTCTTCATCAGAATGCTATGTTGATTTAGGGGTGTCCGCCCGTCTGTCTGATCGTCTGTGGAAATCACTCTAGCTTCCGAAGGAAATGAAGTAGGATGATAAAATTTTTCTCAAATGTATATTACGTCTGCAGGACTTTTGGTATTGAAAATGGGTCATGTAGGTTCACGTTTTGCTGTAGCCCCCCATATAATGGTACCTTACTTTTTTCGGTATTTTGGTGATTAAGGCAACATTATTCACCGGAAATGTTTCAAATTTGGTATTTGAAGTTCGTAATGGGTACTACAGCCTATGACAGAAAATTGTCTGTGCAGGTCCACGTCTTCGTATAACCCCCATATAACTGTACCTCCCGATATTCGGTATTTTTATGATTTTAGCGAGATTATTTACCGGAAATGTTTCAAATTTGGTATTTGAAGTTCCTAATGGATACTACAGTCTATGACATAAAATTGTCTGTGTAGATTCACGTCTTCGTATAGCCCCCATATAACGGTACATCCCGATATTCGGTATTTTTATACCCTACAACACTATGTGTTGGGGGTATTATAAGTTTGATTGGGCCAAAAATTATGTAACACCACGAAATATTGGTTTCCCACATAGGAAAGTATATATGGATCATCCTAGCTCGCCGAGCTGAGTCGATCTAGCTATGTATGTCCGTCCGTCCGTCTGTCCGTCTGTCCGTCTGTCCATGTTAATTTGTAATCACTCTACAGGTCGCAATTATGGCCCGATCTTCACGAAATTTGGAATGGAGGTCGGGGTTTGGCCAGAATAGAACCCTATTTCTTTTTGAGATGATCGCCAAATGTTTAGGGGTTGAAATGGACCAAATACTGAAAAAATTTCGGATTTTGCAGTAGCTATACAGGTCGCAATTATAGACCAATCGACGCGGAATTTCGCATGTAGCTAGAGTTTAGAGCTGGCAAGAAGCCTACCCATTTGGGTGGTAATCGGATAATATTTAGCGGGAAAAATAGACCATATCTTTTTTGTGGAAAAAATTCAAAATTTTTCATTAAACCGCGAATATTTTAAATACCGGCGAAATCACAAAGCCATGACAAGGTTACTTCTGATCTTTACATTGATGTTAACATCCAACAAAACGGATATACAGCAAAATATGTGCGATACATATGTCTATCAAAGGAGATATGCTTGAAAGATCTCTTATATGTCGAGAACGGCTGAACTGATTTCGACAGTTCTCATTAATTCAGAATCGCCTCTTGGCAGGAAAGATAAACCGTCTAAAAAAATCGCATAAAAATATCTCTCTAAAGATGAAAATATTGATTTTGTAAAATTTTCTCATATTTTTTCAATTTTGTCATATTTTTGGCATATTTTCATTTTGAATTAAACATTTGGTAATATTTCTACAGCTAACAAAACTAAGTAGTTAGGATATCAGGATATCATATACAGATCGCATTTATGGCCCGATTCTTACGAAATTTTGCATGGGGATAAGATGAGGGTCAGAATAGATGCCTACTCTTTTTGGAGATGATCGCCATATATTTAGGGGTTGAAATGGACCAAAAAAACTGCAAAATTGTCAGCAGGTCGTAATTATCTCCCGATCCTCACGCCCATTTTAATGGGGGTTACCGCACATTGCAAAAGCCAAGCAGTTTCGGATGGCCATCCAAAAATATTCAATGTGTGAAATAGTTTGCCAACTTTTGTAGACTAAATACGAAAATGTCCATTCCAGCGACATCTACCAATAAATTGGAAATGATCAAATTTAAGTTGCTATTATCCGAAAATTAGAGAACGAAACATGATGGTTTTCTTTTATTATTTGTCACAATATCTTGTGGTGTTCTTTCGAGTATCTCGCCTATATAAACTGTATGGTTTATTATAGTGTTGTAGGGTATTCAACGGTCGGCCCCGCTCGACTGTAGCCTTTGCTTACTTGTTATGATATTAGGGACATTATTCACCGGAATTGTTTCAAATTTGGTATTTGAAGTTCCTAATGGGTACTACAGTCTATGACATAAAATTATCTGTGCAGTATAACCCCATGATACCTTCCTATATAGGATATTTTGATGATTTTAGTTACATTATAAACAGAATTTTTTTCAAGTTTCACATTTGAATATTGTAATAGCTTATGATAAAAGTTGCTTATGCAGGTCCATGTCGTCGTATAGACTATAATATAACAGCGACATTCGGTATTTTTAAGATTTTAACAAAATTTTCAACGGATTTAATTTTTTAAAAATTGTCAAAATCATTCCAAATGGTGGAGGGTATTCATAGATCGGACCGGCCAAACTTACAGCTTTTTTACTTGTTTTTTTTTTTTCAAACGAATCGTACTTTTCCTGCCCATCAAATTTTAAGTGAAATCTGTAGAACTAAGGAAGTTAGACCTTTTTTATTACAATCAAAAAATCAGGGTATTGAGTTTATGAAGCACTTAATATTACAAACAAATAATAAAGCGAGATAGACCCATAGTTACTTTCGAGGATCTTCATAGCATCACTTTCTGAGTCTATTTATGAATGCCAGTTCGTCCGCATTTTGTGAATAAAATGCAGGTCGCATTTATTATCCGATTGAGATGAAATTTTTCAAACAATATCTGCTTGGCACAAGGACAAATCCCTATTGAAATTGGTGACAATCGGATCAGATTTGGATATAACTTCCATAAATATCTTCAACCAATTTCGGGTTAATTATGCACCAAATGGCCAATATCAGTCCAAATGACCTGTATTTTAGCACATCCAATCGAATTCAATGTAAAAGCAAGTACATCAAATTTAGTTAAAATAGGTTCAATAAGTGCACCCATATCCAGGGTGAGATAAAAAAACTGCAACAAAGTCAAATGCCATAATTTTTTCATTTTTTTTTTAAATTTTATAAAATGAAAGCAAAAAATGTCGGAAATAGCATCAAATTTTAGAATAAATTTAGATTTGTTCGAATTGGTCACCTTTGGCACGAATTATGACCTTCAAACGGCCAATGAAACCGTCATACGCTGCCCGAATGTTGCTCTGCGGTATTTTGGCCCATTCCCTTGCTTGAGGCGATCGACACATTGGTATTTTTTAGTGCCAACCTTGCTTTCCAAAATACTTCAGACACAATAGTCCAACGGATTGGTATCCGGAGATTTTGGTGGCCATTGTGCGCTGGAAATGAAGCGAGGAACCTCATTTCGCAACCGTTCTTGAGGGGGCGCGATGCTGAGTGTGATGGTGGTGAGTCTAATTGGAATGCCCAAGGTCTGCGGCTAAAATGTTTGCGTTTCCAAGGCTTTAATACACCCTCCAGAATATTGCCGCGGTAATATTCGGCATTCTTTCTGATGCCACGGTCGATTAATACTAGCGGAGAGCTACAGTCGGCTGTTCTTTAGCTCTTTAGAGTATATTTTCTTTCTGTTGCGGTGTAAGTTCTTGCACTTTTTGAAATTTCAATGACTTTACCGAGACACCATTTTTCAATATTTGCCGAATGGAATATTGCTTTATGTTCATCTCACGAGCCATTTTTCGGCCACTGCGACACGGAATTCGATCAAGTCGCTTCTTTATTTTTCGAACCATTTCTGCTGATGTTGCGGTTTTCTTCCGTTCTCTTCCCTGACGTCGGTCTACGCTACCAGTATCACGGTAACGAGCGATGGTACGAAACACAAAAGATTTATTCACATTTAAATGCTGGAGTGCTCTAACGATAGCCACTTGTGGTTTTCCAGCCAAATATGAAGACATCACTCTATCCCGCTTGAATTCCATCACGAATAACTTTTTTTTTGGAAAATTCTCACCAAAATGCTTTTGTGCGCTAGTAAACTATATAATGAGCTGTCAGTGGAATAATTTAAATAGCTGTCGGACGATTGGCTTCGAAATAACATCAGCCTGAAGTTGGTTGCAGTTTTTTGATCTCACCCTGTATAGATCCAACAAAATTACCAATTATTGCAATCACGCAAGAGTCAAAACTAATTAAAATTGGAAGCTAAAATTTAGCACAGATCAATCTTTTGTCTGCAAGCAGGTCAAATTCGAAGATGGGCCGTATCGGTCCACGATATCTTACAGCCCCCATATAACGATACCTCCCGATATTCGGCTTTTTGATGATATTAGCAACATTATTCACCGGAATTGTTTCAAGTTTCATATTTAAAGTTCGGATTCGGTACTACAGCCTATGAGAGAAAATTACTTTGCCTGTCCAGGTCTTTGTATAGCCCCCATATAAAGGTTTTCATTTAAGTGGTATTTCTCGATGGATTTTTTTTTTAATTTTTCAAGATCCTTCAAAATTTTGGAGGGTATTAAAAGTTCAGTTCGGCCGAACTTAGCTGCTTTTTTGCTTGTTTGTAATAATTTACAAGTTTAAGATTTAAGATTAAATATATAGATCTTATATTTATGATACGGCCCCAAAAAGAGAATATATAAATATATGATCAAGTGCTAAGGGTATATATAAGTCGGAATACCGACTGAAGTTTTCTAACTTGTTTGAAGACAATATCAGCCAAATGGCCACCACGGG